TCGTAGATTAGGTCTGAATAGTAAATCTCAGCATGAAACATACAATACAAAACAACCAAATGTTATGTATTCAGACGATCTAAATAATGGAAATATACAAAATAGTATGGCTTCAGATTATCAAGACATTYCAAATTCAAACAAAATGAATCAATTTGTTAGGCGTATAGTACGACAAAACCCTTTGTCCCCATCATCTAATGTTTATGATAGTCAACGRATCTATGTTGGTAATAAACCAAATAATATGATGTTCACAACTTTCAGTAATGGAGACAGTTATTTGAAAGATACAATGAGAACATTGATAGATAACTTCAAGTCATTTGGTCAAAACCCACACAGTAGATTGTGGGGTAATTTTCAGGAAACAGGAAAACCAACAAAAATGGGATTAGGTTCAATGAGATACTCGACAATCATTCCTTCAACTGGTTCAATTAATAGTATGGGTCCATACGTTATCACGCCACACAACAGAAAACCCGAAACAATAAATTACCCATACTCCAATCCGTCCGGTTTGAGTAAAGACGAAGCTAATARAATCCGAAATCAAGTCCTCCAAAAATCTAATTTGTATAGAGAAAAATATAATCTCAAACCACTTAGTTTGGATAATCAGGTAAGTGGAAAATTCTATTTAACTGTATATTCTTTATATAATTCGCTTATAAATTAATATAAGAATTAGAAATAACAAATATTATTAACTAGATTAACAAACAGTGGGGATCGGATCATGAAAAAAAAACGCATTTATTCATCCTGGTTAAAAAATATGTACATATTAGAATCAGTTTTCCTTTGACGGTGTGTGTTTTAGACATTTTGAAAACAAAAAAGTAGATATTATTATCGAATTGTGTTGTTTATTTTTTTCCCCCGCCTTTTACGATTACGTCACTATTGAATGAATACAGAGTAYATACTTAATATATGCTGTACACAAATAATAATGACAAATATTGTTTGAAATATTTTACATACGTAGATATAATATTATGTATATTATAAAATATATTTAGATATAAGTATATTATAGCACCCAACACGCACACATTTGATAACGAACTGGTCGTTGAGATTATACTAATAATATTAAAATATACGAAAACATTTAATCAAATTCAAATAATATTGTATGTACGATATACGCGTTGCCGACGATAATTTGACACTAATAATTTTATATTTTATCCCCGCTTAAATGATCAATTCAAAAATTCAAAAATTCAAAAATAGGATTCACCGAAAAGTGAAAATATATCTATTTTTATTGTACAACTATTTGATCAATTTTCCCAGAAATAGCTACAACACTACATGCCATATTATAAGATGACGTTTCTATTATATAAATTTATATAAAAACATCAATAATAATTACAAGGCGTAATAAATAGGCCATCCAAATACACTACGATTTTGAGTTCAGTTTTCAAGTAGGTGTCTTATAATAAGTGCTATGTTTATAGTTTGCGCATCGTTAATACTCGGTATAGTCACCGAGTAATTTATTTAGGAAATATATGCTTATAAATTAAGTTATAATACTGTATGCTTCTATTATAATAACTGCGGAATTCAATATTTTAGACAACTAAAACTGATGTAATTAGTCACATCCAGTATTTTTATGGAAATATTTATATTTAAATTAACACAAAACTTGTTTTTAACATTATTGTTTGTTAAATATTCATCTTAAGAAAAATTAAAACAATAATATTCTATCTTTTGTATGGCGATTTTATTTATTGTGTATTTTTTCTAATCTTAAGAAATATATATATATATTTCATTTTAGTTGAACAATTGTGCTCAAAACTGGGCTAATCAAATGGTGAAATTAAATATATTTGACCATAGACAAGATAACGCATATGGAGAAAATCTGTACTCAAGTTCAAAATTAAATAATTTAGGTGAAAAAGCGGTCGAGGATTGGTATAATGAAATAATTATGTTCAATATCGCTGACGACGAAAATGGATTGTTTGCCAATACTCCAACACGTAAGTAATTCATTAATTGAAAATAACGTATCTACAGACTACAGATATATTATGTTTTTATAATATACATATTCGGCCACTTTTAAATATTTTATGAATCATTTGAAATATTTCCATAAACAATTTAAAGCGTTTAATAATATTTTTATGTGCCTGAATGAACCTACGCTTTATATTTTACTGAACAAAGGTAAGTTAGGTAGGTACTTTAAAAAACAAAAAAGTTGCCCGTTATGTATTTTATTATTCAAGTAAAAATCGAATAAATAAATCAGTCGATAATAATATTTCTAATTATTTATTATAATATACTTACTATATTTTCTAACTTACATAAATAGTTTAAATGGTATCTCATACCTATACATTACTTTTGGTCACTTAATTTTTGTAAACATTTCACCACGTGTGGCGTGTGTCCTAGTTGAAATGTTTCATTTAATAAGGCCTTCAACAAGTATTGCACATATAGAATACGATAAAAACCTCATGTTTTATTTTTTTAAATCTTAGATCACATGACACAATTATTATGGAAATCATCAGAAAAATTGGGTGTTGGTGTTTCRAAAAATCCGAATGGTATGTATAACGTTGTGGCCAACTATGATCCCAAGGGAAATATGTTGAATTCTTTCAAAGAGAATTTACCAGATATAAAACAAGAAGACATTAAAGAGGCGAAACAATCAATTAAATTACAAAAAGAATCGGAACAAAAACAAAGAACATGATGGTTTTCGAGTTCAACAATTCCAATACAATCAGAATTAAAATACGGGTCATATTATAATTAGAATTATTAGGTTTATTTGTCAGAGTGTCAGGAAACTGAAACTTTGTAAAATAGTTAGAAATATATTTATAAATAATACTATAATAATATTGAAATATAATTATTATTTTCATCATATCTCATAAGTCATAGTCACAAATCAATATTCATAACGTAATCAGTTAATAAGTATTCAGTACTTATATCTTTGTTGGGAACACTTAAGGTACCTATATAATTTTTATATGTGATTAAATATTGAATWTAAATTTTCATTACTTAATAGATAGTATTASGCGTAATAAACAAGTAAMTATATAGAACCCAAAACCATAATGGATACATTTTAGATTCTGAGCGGGCCGATTGAACTATAATTAATTTCTAGATCACAAGCTCCCAACCAGGGTGCTGCAAACTTAAATTGAGGGTGAAATAATTTTTTTAAGAAAAAACCTACTTTGTGTATATTTACGAAAACATTTGTATCAATTCACCTCGGTCGACCGACAATCACACAATTTTTCCGTAACTGAAATAATCAATATTCAAAAATCAGCACATTTCCGTTTTTAATTTATATCAGAATGAATACTCAAAAAATGGTCGAATTACTTATTACAAAAATTGTAGTTATTGTATGGAAAAACATGAATTGTACTGTTGACTACTTTACTTACTRGTAAGTTACTATACTATACTACTTAATTACTTTACATGGATTGTACTATTCAGTGGCGTAGCCAGGGGGAGCTAAGAGGGCTATAGCCCCCCCCCCATTGACTGTGTTTATTATAGCTATTGTAAGCTATAGCCAAGAAGGATGCAGTTAAACGATTGGAGCCTGTAGGCATAATAAATAAATAAAAATGTTTATACATGTATATAATTTAAAAAAAAAAATTTAAATAGAAGAAATATGTTATTTGTATTTTTTGAATTTTTTTGTGAGACTTAGCCCCCCTCCCCCCATACAAAATTCCTGGCTACGCCACTGATACTATTGTCAATTGTTAATAATAATTGTTGCCAAGCTGGAAAAATAATTGTAAGAGGGCGTCTCATCAACATTTTATCATTTATTAAGAAAATATTATTTTTCAACTTTAATTATTTAAGACTAAATTTTAGCATAATAATTAATAATTATTGAAGTTTAATTTTTGAACATTCGGGTTTCCTAAAAAAACTCCGTAGGGTACCGGGACGTTATCTCCAAAATCGGTATGTTCTCGGTCAGTCCAGGACTCATGGCAAGTTGTAACCCAGCTATGTTTAGGTTATCAATAAATATAGTAATATATAATATATATAAATATAGTAATATTACTAAATTACAACACAGAACAATATTCTTTTGTGAAATAAAAGAGAATCCCATCATGATGTTTTAATTTTTATTTTTTCATCGAACCGCAATGAACACAATGATTATGATAACATTTAAAATAAGCTAGTCCAATTATTTATGAATAATTAAAAATTTTAATTTATACTTTGAATAAATTATGATAAGTATCCTTATGAAATAATAATCATAAATAAATTGTTTTTAAATATTTTGAAATAACCATGATAATATTTAACACTTTTAAATTATAGATGTTACTACTTACTATAATATACTTCTACTATGATAATTGATAATACTATAACGATTGTATATCCATATTATGTAATATGTACAGATTTAATTACATAATTAATTAATTAAGATTTTATTATTCAACAATTCTTTTTATTATTAGTAGTTTCTGTATAAATCGTCATTGTTTCCGCTATGGTTGTTTTTTTCTCATTTAGTGGAATTCGAACTTTTCATTGGATGAATAATTTTTTTTTTTTGAATCCAATCGTTACGTGGTAAATGCCATTATGCCAAGGTTATTGACATAAGGTTATTACACTGGTATTTATTGTTCAAGAGGATTCAGGTCTTCGAGTACTAGGTTTGATATTGGCGTCGAATGTTTAACATAGCCAACATTCTTAAACAAGCCCAACGAAACTTTGTTATTTTCATCAATGAGTACATGAGGAGAGACGCCATTCTCGCCCATTAGCTTTGTAACTGCCAACACAATCAGCTTACCAAAACCGCGGTTTCTGTAACCTGGCTGAACTGTCAAAGTACTAAGACCACCATAACTGCCACACATGGCCCACGCCAATAGTTCGCCATTGTGTCGGCTAAATACACCTGAACTAGTGTTGAGCTTTATCGTATCCGAAAGGTCAGACTTGGGGTAAATATCTTTGGTAGTCCATAACGAATAGATAAAGTCAATATGATCCAAGGTCAATTGGCCAATAAAAACATCTTCGGGAACCCTGAAAAAAAAAATTAAAGATAACTGTATATTTGAAATGAGAAATTAAAATTTGTATTTTAATGAGATACGATTTTATTTTATCAACATTTATAAGTTTCTTCTTTTCATGAATGTTTTAAATTCTGTAAAAAAAATTTTTTTCKTATCTTTAATATTATAATCCGTTGGTAATTAAACGGATTATTAAAATAACCTTGTATCCATTAAAATATAATTCAAAATCTCATATATTTGGAACTTTTAAAAATTGCAACGTAAAAAAATTTTTTCTTATCTTTAATATTATAATCCGTTGGTAATTAAACATAATTAAACGGATTATTAAAATAACCTTGTATCCATTAAAATATAATCCAAAATCTCATATATTTGGAACTTTTAAAAATTGCAACGTAATACCCGAACTCGGAAATTAAGCATTTATAGGTTCATATCTTTTTTTTTCATAAAACATACACATTTAAAAAAAACTATTTATTGTATACTATTTTGGAATTTTCTAACAATTAAATATTTTTATTTTTAAGTTTTAAATTATATAATACTGAATATAGTTTAACCAAAAAACGTAGTAACAAATACTAGAGTCATACCTATTTTTGATTTATTTTTGAATTTGAAATGTTAAAAATTGCTATTATAAATTATAATATAATATTATA